GTTTCGATCTCTTGACCTCGTGATCCACCTGCCTCGGCCTCCCAAAGTGCTGGGATTACAGGCTTGAGCCACCACGCCCAGCAATAGTGATCAGTTTTATGGTGAGCAGTACAGGGACCAGGTCTGACTACTGAGATGCTGGTAAGTCTAGCAGGCTGCTGGGAAATACTTTTATCTCTGATAATGCAAAGCCCCCATTCCCTCCTGATTTTAGGTGCAATCCTTAAAAGCAGCAGCACTCATCCTGCAACATGAATGGAAACATAAGAGAATAACAGAATTTAGTCCAGAGCTCTGACACCATTGTAGAATCAACCAACCCTGGAACTGCATCTACCTCTGGACATTATTATTTTTTTTTTTGAAGATGGAGTCTTGCTTTGTTGCCTACGCTGGAGTGCAGTGGTGCAATCTCTGCTCACTGCCACCTCTGCCTCGCAGGTTCAAGCAATTCTCTGCCTCACCCTTCCAAGTAGCCGGGATTACGGGCACCCACCACCATGCCTGGCTAATTTTTTTTGTATTTTTAGTAGAGATGGGGTTTCACCATCTTGGCCAGGCTGGTCTTTAACTCCTGACCTTGTGATCCACCTGCTTTGGCCTCCCAAAGTGGTGGGATTACAGGCGTGAGCCACTGCGCCCAGCCTGCCTTTGGATATTGTATGTGAGAGACTAAACCCCATCCTTTAAGCTATTTTTGGTTGGGTACTCTGTTATTTATGACTGAAATAATTTCATATGATATATTCAGAGTACAAGAAAAATGTTACATCTAAAGAATGCATTTAAGTCTAAATGCATAAAATGGGCAAGGGTACAAGCAGAAGTAGTCCAAAGAAAATAGCTTCTGAAGTAAGTTAAATCCTCTGCCAAAATTCAGATCCTGTTCATATATACAAAGTCTGAAGTTTAAAGAATATATTAGTAATTAGAAAAAAATGTATCTTGCATATGATACAGAAAGGAACATCTGTCACTATTTCTCCTGATTAAAAGATGACAAAACTAGCAAAAGCAAGCTAGGGGCCAAATATTCTACAGTACTTTCTGACAGCTGTATTAAATGCTAATAGTTACTAATTAAAACTTGTGGCTTAAACCACCTCTCCCACCTTAGTCCAATTTGTATGCTGAACTCTGCCAGCAGCTCTCACAGCTTAGCAATAAAAAACAGTGTCTTAGTACTTGGCAATGTTCAAAGAGATCTTACTTGACCCATCGTTTTTCAAGTCAGTTCACTTACACTCAGTGCACAGTAGCTACTGATGAATGTTTATGTCATCTAACTTCAATACCCAATCACCAAGCACAGCATCACCATGGGAAAGGACTGATAAACCTCCAGAAAGAAACCTCAGTGTTCTTGTCATGATATATAGATGTTCTCTATAGATCTCCAAATTTGAAAGGCATCTATAGACACAAGTCTTAGATTTATTGAATAGGTAGGCACTAACAGTAAACTGTGGCTCTTTGTAGGTAGGACTTATGCTGAACTATATGGCATTGGTTAACTACTTCTAAGGGACTGGCTAATGTCTCAGTTCAGTATTTACCTATTAAGAGTGCAACCACTCCACGAAAGCTTTAAATTAGTTCTGCGTATGATCTGTAATTATGATGTAATTTTTCTAGTTGTAGATATAACTTCACTCTTTTTCAGAATAACAGAAAGTAATGCATTTTGACCTCTTGTTCAAACCATATAGTAGTATATGTATGTTTATTAGATATTCTCATCTATTATTAAAATATTTTTCTCAGCACTGCTTGAACATCTGATAGATTTGAAGAATGACTCTGGGAGCAACAGTGGGTGTTATCAATAGTTTTCTAAAATGTAAGTTTCCTAAAGGACTAGAAAAAAAATCCAAGTGTATTCAAATGTGTTAAGGATCACTCTATAAAAGGAGAGTTGTGAATCTGCATCTGCCAGTGATACACAGTGGGTAGCAAGACATTTCATTGGCTTCGTTATAGACCTTTGTATTGTAAGGTATCTGCTACATCATAACATCACAATATGGAATAGTTCTTGCATAAAGTAGGTGCTCTGTAAAGCCTGTATGCATAAATATTAATGCAGTACACTGGTAAAATAAGGCAAAACGTGTTATCATTTTTTAAATTAAAGATTATACCAATCCAAAATAACTTCTATCAGAAAGAAATAAATACTGCACTGTTTTGTTGATAAAGTGTTTCAGAAGTTAGACTATTATATAAATCCCATTTCTAAGGCAGATAATTTTTTAAGCGATGATAGTCTTGTGTTGGTATTCCATGAGAATACAATCATTTTACCAATTAAAGTCAAAATTTTCCGCAGAAAGTCACAGCCCCTGGTAATCTCTTTGGGTCTGGAAACCTTCGAAGAGTCAAGCTGACATTTTTCAGGTCTTCAGGCCACTGGGTTTTACAGGGGTAAGTCCAGAGACAAGTCTAGCCTATATATAGCACAGTCTTCAAAACAACACAGGTGCATCTCTGATCCTACCCTACCTAAGCTTTGAGGGTAGTGGGGCTTCTGTCTGCAGAATTGTCCTGAAAGGGTAACCAGTAGGTGTGACATAGAATTGGCCAATGTTAGCATTTACAGCTATCGTCAAAAGATGAATCCACTGCCACCGCCCCCCGAGGGCCCCCTAAGATTGCAGAAGGTATCAGCAAGGAGGCAGCCCAGGTTGTTTTCCAGGAGAGGTCACAGGAGGAAGGGAGCTACACAGGGCACTTAAATCTTTTGTGCCCAGGAGCTTTTTTCATCAGAGCAGGGGAGTATATTTTAATGACTTCTTAAACACTCGTGTGGGACAGACTTGAGCATGAGGGAGGTCTTAAGCCGGGCACAAAGTTAGTTTCGAATACTAGTTAATAACTCTATTTTTACTCCTTTTTTTGCACAGAAGCTGGTAATCTAGGAATTACATGTAAATAACTTTAAACTTTTTGTACTTGGTTTCCTTGGGTTGGTATAATACACTATATTTAAGTTCCTTGAACACTGCGGATACTCCTAATATGTATGAATGACTAAGGCTTTGTAAATGAAGGGACGTTTGTGTAAATGAAGTTATTTGACGGGGTCAAAGAATCCATATATGATTTGGAAAAAAAAAAGTCAGAATCTTAAAGACAATTAACCAGAAATATTACATACCAGAAATTGAAAATGAGTATCGAATAGGAAGTTATAAATAAATCAAGCATAATATCTGGCATACCTGCTGCATGTATAGGTGTCCTCTTCAAAATGTAATCTTTTACTAAGATTGAGGCTCCCTGATTAATGAGTACATCCACACATTCAACATGGCCCTTAAATGCTGCAAGGTCTAGGGGTGTTCTTCCACTACTATTTCTGACATCAAGGTCTAATAAAGACTGTACCAACACTTCCAGTGCTTGATGGTGACCATGATAGGCCTAGAAATAAAAATGCAAATTAAAAAAATAAATATTTAGACTGATTTCCTAAATACTTTAGAAAATATAAAAAAGCAAACTTGTCTTCCTATCATCTTATTTGAGATAATCCAAACTTCTACATTTAGAATTCAGGAAGTTAACTACATATTTTTCTAATAATCAACACAGTAGGCTAGTGTTAGAGAACCGGCATTCTATAAATAATAAAAGTTCAAATGACAGGTGATCTTTTCATGAGTATATACAATGCCTGTTCATGGCAGACATTCAATGGATGTGTGATAGGGATCCATTTAAAGCCTTGATTTCAAGTCTGATTCCAAGAAGCCTGTGTTTTTTGTTTGTTTGTTTTGAGACAAGGTCTTGCTCTGTTGCCCTGGCTGGAGTGCAGTGGCATCATCATAGCTCACTGCAGCCTTGACTTAAGTAATCCTCCCACCTCAGCCTCCTTAGTAGCAGGGACCACAGGTACACGTCACCATGCTTGGCCAATTTCTAGCGATGAGGGTCTTGCTATGCTGCCCAGTCTGGTCTCAAATTCCTGGCCTCAAGTGATCCTCCTACCTTGGTCTCTCAAAGTGCTAGGATTACAGGCATGAGCCACTGCACCCAGCCAGGCCTGTGTTCTTAATCACAGTTCAGTGCTCCACATTAACGCCAGAGACAGCTAGCAACTTGAGTTGAGTCAGTGCTTCAATATTCTGATTTCCCAAACTAAACTGCTTACTCCCACCCTGTAATACCATAGCTAAAAAAAAAAGAAGCAATTCTTTTTTTTTTTTTTTTTTTTTTTTAAGACAGAGTTTCCCTCTTGTTACCCAGGCTGGAGTGCAATGGCGCGATCTCGGCTCACCGCAACCTCCGCCTCCTAGGTTCAGGCAATTCTCCTGCCTCAGCCTCCTGAGTAGCTGGGATTACAGGCACGCGCCACCATGCCCAGCTAATTTTTTGTATTTTTAGTAGAGACGGGGTTTCACCATGTTGACCAGGATGGTCTCGATCTCTTGACCTCGTGATCCACCCGCCTCGGCCTCCCAAAGTGCTGGGATTACAGGCTTGAGCCACCGCGCCCGGCCGAAAGAAGCAATTCTTTAGCAAAGGAATACTTAACTGAGCCCTGCTTGAATATCACCACGTATTGGGCATTGTCCTAGCTGTACAAGAGTAACACTGAAGATCTTTTAGACTGAAGTTGCCTTCTTCATACAGTCTAATAAAAGGGCTTTCCGGAAAAGTCATTTCAAAATCCAACATGGCAACTGAACATATATTATTATTTACACTGGACTAAATTCTGAGCATTACATTAAAGAAATAAATAAACTTCACAGGACTATAAAGCCAATTTCTGGTAGAAAATGTCAGAAAGTAGCAGCCAGAGATAAAGCTGCTCTGGACCTTACTGATCTCTTTATAATGCATCTGTGTAGAAACTTGACTATTTAAACTTGACTATGTGAAAGATTAAAATGACTATAGGTCACAGAATTTTACTGTTTTAGGATCACATCTAACTTTGTTCCTTAATACCAGGTCAATGAAAATTATTCTACTGAAAGAATGAACTCTAAGGAACGATATATTACATATAGAAAACACTATAAAAAGTAGTAGTTAGCCAGGTGCGGTGGCTCATACCTATAATCCCAGCTCTTTGGGGAGGCTGAGGTGGAAGAATAACCTGAACAGGAGTTTGGGACCAGCCTGAGCAACATAGTGAGACCTCATCTCTGTGCAAAAAAAAAAAAAAGAAGAAAAAAAAAGCCTGGTAGCACGTGCCTGCGGTCCCAGCTAGGCAAGAAGCTTAGGCGGAAGGATCACTTGAGTCTGAGAGGTAAAGGCTGCGGTGAACTGTGATTGTACCACTGCACTCCAGCCTGGGTAACAGAGTGAGACTGTCGCTCTAAATAAATAAATAATGAGGTTGGGTATGATCACTCACACCTACAATCTCTGCACTTTGGCAGTCCAACACAGGAGGATTACCTGAGGCCAGGAGTTTGAGACTAGCCTGGACAACAGTGAGACCCTGCCTCTATAAAAAATACAGAATTAGCTGGGAATGGTGGTGTGAGCTATAGTCGTAGCTACTCAGAAGGCTGAGAGAGGGAGGCTCGCTTGAGCTCAGGAGTTCCAGTCTGGAATGAGCCGTGATCGTGCCACTACACTCTAGCCTGGATGACAGAGGGAGACACTGTCTGAAAAACAATAGCAAAAATAAATTTAAAAAAAAGAGAGAAAAATAAGAATGAATGGGAGCCATTTTGATTTGCCACAGGGCTTTCCCCATGATGTCCTTGTATGGGACTGAGAGAAGCACAAACGTCCAGTATGAGCAAAGTTAGAAATCGAGACCAGTTTCCGGGAGCTTAGACCAGTAAGTTTTCACTGTACCAAGTTGTCCTGAATGGGAGAGTTTAGAATAAGAAATTAAAGTAACTTCTGAAAACCTCCTAGCGATAGATATGAAATGCAAAAGTAGTGGTATAATCACATTTCATTGAGCCTAATTACTAAATTATTTTAATTTTTAGCTTAAAAATATTATTTACATATAATGTATACCCATGTTATAGCAGCACTCATTCATAATAGCCAAGAGATGGAGGCAACCCAGATATCTATTGTCAGATGAATGGATAAAGAAAATTGTGGTACATATTTAACAGCATATTATTATTCAGCTTAAAAATGAAGGAAAGTCTGCCACATGCTACAACATGGATGAAATCTGCTAGATGAAATAAACCAAACAACACAAAAAAATACTGTTATGATTCCACTCAAATGAAGTATCTAGATTAGTCAAATCCATAGAAACAGAAGGTAGGCTGGTATTATCAGAGTTTTAGTTTTAATCTTTACAAGATAAAAAGATTCTGGAGATGGTTGCATAGTAATGTAAATATAATTAATACTATTGGACTGTACACTTAGAAATGGTTAAGAAGGTATGTTTTATGTTATGCTTTCTTTTTTCTACCATTACCACAATATACACATACAAAATCTTTGACCAAAAAATAGTAATTGAGAGAGAGAGGGAAAAACCTACTAATCAATGTATAGCACATCATTAACTTACAAACACAAAAAGAGAAACCTGCCAAGTTGAGGGGTGGGGAGAATACAAATGAGAAATTTCTAAAGAAACAACGTCATTAAACTAACTAGGTCCTAAAGACTACAGGGCTTTTGGGAGTCTTTAATATGCTACTTGTTGAATCTCCCCAAGGGGAAATAGTCTGCCACCTAGAAAAAGCTCAAGAATGAGAATGATGCTGCCACTGTTAATGCTGCGCAGTCTTCATTTCTTGTCATCAGTAGTAAAATGGCTGTTTTTTCCATGCTGGCTTTGCCCTTTCAGACTTATTTACTACGTGTGTGTAGGAGAGGGGATGGTGTTTCTAAGGATGCAAAGGGCAAACAAGCAGGAAGCTTCAAGAATGCTTTCTTAGTTATTTAGGACATGATAGGAAGTATCAGTAGGGAGAAATAGAAAATTTAATGTATATATGTCAGTGTCAGAACACATGCAAGGAGAATACTAAGATAAAAAAATAACAGTAAATATGAAAAGAAACAATCAAATGAATCACTGAATTTGTAGTGTTCCACATTAAATTAAGGATACATTCTTACAAGCATTTTACTAAAACATCAGAGATCTCACAAAGGGTTAGTGTGGTACCCTGGTCTCCTGATTCTCAAAGTACCCCCTTCCCTTTAACTCTAACATTCTTTGTCTCAAACATAAATTCTTTCAGTACAGAAAGCTGGATTAGGATTTACTTGAAATTTTAGGTAATACACTCTCATTTGACTTAAAAAATTGTCACATTCTTTCTTAACCCTCTCCATTTAGTGACTGACACTGAAAAAAAAAAAAAAAGAGAGAGGAATCTTAAAGTGGAAGGGATATAAAGACAATGTAGCCAAATACTATATAGTGAGAGCACCTGAAGGACCAGTGAACATACAACCAGTTAGCACCCCGAGATCACAAAGTAAGCAAAAAATTGTACAAATACCACAGAATGTGTGAGTGTATAGCAACTGCTTAGCAACTTATAAGGCATTCCACTAGGGCAGCACATTTTAAAATTCACCATCACAGGCATATTCTCCATATTTTCTCCCTCTTTCTCCCCAGAAGGCCCTGGGGGAAGCCCAAGGATCACTGTCTGTCTTTTTTTAAAAAGAAACAGAAATAACAAAAACAAAAACCCAGCACATTAAATAATTCTCTGAATTAAAGAAAGTTCTCAAAATTTTAATTCCATGATAACTATTACATGGGCCAAAAGTTTATGGTACTAGTTTGAGTTAACACAACAAGTATTAGATATTTTCAGTAAACTAGATATCAAACTGGCTATGAAGGCAGTACTCACAGCCAAGTGTAAAGGGCTTATTGTTGCTCTATTATCTGAATCACTCAGCATGTCTGTTCCTGAGGTTTCCATTAACTGAAAAAGAAGAGGCATTTTAAATGTCAGAAAGATAGACTACTGCAATTATTCTCTCCCATATCTCCAGTTCAAATCAATTTTAGAGTATTTGGTAACTCAGCAAGCTTATAAAACACAAATATTATGAAAGTGTAGTAAGGACCACAGACTAAAAGCTTTGAAGACAGGCTATAAAACTAAGAGTTTGGGGGAAATGCTACTTAAGTGCCACCAAGTAAACATCTTTCTTCCTTCTGTACACGATTTCTGTCACTGTCTTTGCTCCTATGGTTATGCAAAGAGACCTTCAGCTCTAATGAGAGGAAAAAGATAAACATAATTGGTAGGAGGAATTGACTTATACTTACAACATCTAGAGGAGTTTCACTTGCAATCTGAAATAAAGGTCAAAACAAAAATATTTAGTTTGGTAAGTATTCATCTATATTAAGTCTCAACTTACACAGGGCTTTGCTAGCTTTTATTTTAAACCCGTGCTTCCTTTGCCTCCAAAAAGTTAGGTGTTTTAAATAATTTTATAACACAGCAGACATCAAATCTATATACACAGGTCTAAAATTTGGTCTAAAGATCCATAATAACCTAAGAAAACAGTTGTTATTTTTGTAACAGGGTCTCAAGTGCTATATTAAATTGTCAACCTCCTTTTTCTGCTTTTATATCCACTCTCCTTGAATTTTATTTCCCCTTGAAGGGGAGCAAAGTTTAATGTAATTTATAAGGTAAGTCTAAATAAAAGAATCTTAAACCTAAAGTATCTATGATACACATGAATACCTTTTCCTTGACTTTCCTTCTGGTTTGGCAAATTTGGTGAATGATGGTATTATATTTCAGAATGAGACCCCAATAGAAATAAAAACTTCCTTTGCAGAAGAGTCTCCCTTATTAGGAAGGGCTGTGAAATAAATGGGCCTTTTGGAATTCCCTGAATATATGTGGAAGATATTCCTCTCACAGAAACTTTTCTCACATAAGACACAGTTATAGTTCTTTAGAAACTTAGGAGAAATATTTATTTAAAGGGGCAGGAGAAGTAAACACTGCAGACACAGACATGGGGTAATCAGTAGCTCTATCCAGAGATCTAATTTTCTCCTTTTTTAAAAGGAAAAGAGAATGAGAGATATCTTTTTAAGAGGTATATATACATTCTGAAAATGTTAAAAAACAAAATGGAATTTGTTTCTTGATCCATTTATCATCATTTTTGTTAAATTATTACACTATAAACTCACATCAGGCCTTTCACAAGAATTCAGGAATCTTACCAGCTGAAGACATAGACGGTGACCATAAGCAGCAGAATAATGAACTGCATTGTATCCTTGCTTATCACGGATCCCTGGATTTGCATCATTTCTTAGTAAGTATTCCAGGCACCTATATACAACAACAACATACTGAAAATTCTAAATCTTGAATATCAACCAATGATAAGAGACTGAAATTAAAAACTGATAATTTTTCTGATACTTAAGTAATATAAAAATCATAAATGTATCACACTTTAAAAATATGTCATTTAGGCCGGGTGCGGTGGCTCACGCCTGTAATCCCGGCACTTTGGAAGGCAGAGGCGGGTGGATCACGAGGTCAAGAGATCGAGACCATCTTGGTCAACATGGTGAAACCCCGTCTCTACTAAAAATACAAAAAAAAAAAATTAGCCGGGCATGGTGGCGCGTG